AGAACCACAGCGAGCACCCAGACAGAACCACAGCGAGCACCCAGACAGAACCACAGCGAGCACCCAGACAGAACCACAGCGAGCACCCAGAGAGAACCACAGCGAGCACCCAGACAGAACCACAGCGAGCACCCAGACAGAACCACAGCGAGCACCCAGACAGAACCACAGCGAGCACCCAGACAGAACCACAGTGAGCACCCAGACAGAACCACAGCGAGCACCCAGACAGAATCACAGCGAGCACCCAGACAGAATCACAGCGAGCACCCAGACAGAACCACAGTGAGGACCCAGACAGAACCACAGTGAGCACCCAGACAGAACCACAGCGAGCACCCAGACAGAACCACAGTGAGCACCCAGACAGAACCACAGCGAGCACCCAGACAGAACCACACCCCACACGTTATTCTAAGCAGGATGTCATGATGACTTCAAAGCACATCATTGAGACAAATGTCTTACTCTTGTCACTGTTGCCTTGAGAAGAGGTGGGACTGAAACAAATAGAGGCCTCTGAGAAGAGAGTTTCTCAGAGCACTTTTTTCTTGCAAAAGTATCCCAACTACTGATTCTGACAGACCCTCTCTAATACAGCAAGGTGAGATATGCCAAAGAAGCAGATAAGATCGAATGAGATGTAAAACATTACCTTCCACAAGTCTTCTGGCAGACGCCAGCATTAGGGCCATTCCCATGTCTGCTGTTGAGTCTGCAACAGCGTGTGGGGTATTAGTCACTTTTACACCAAAGTTAGAAATCATTTTCAAGTTTAAGTGATCCACTCCAACACCAGAGTTTCCAATGACCTTTAAATTAGGCAGGCTTTCTAGAAGCTCCCGGTCGATAGTTGGCCTGGACTCCGACACAAAAATGGATTGGATTTTTTTCCCCATTTCTTTTTTGTTTTCAAGAAGTTCTTTCATGGTGATAACGCAGAAGTGTTTCTTCAGAAGCACCACAAGGCTTTCTTGCACACCATGAGTTCCTCCAACATCCATAATCAAAAGACCTGGCAACTCCTGTTCTGCCATGACCTGCAGTGGAGGAATAGAAGAAGCACGCTGCTGTTTAGGAGAACGTCACTCAAGCAGTGATGGTGTGGCCACCATTTAAATTCACACCTGTGAATCGGGAAATTAATGGCACTCCATAGTCCTTTTAATGATACAGCACAAATTCACAGTCACCTGGGACTAGCGTGGCCTTACGTTAGAAAATGGTCCGATATCTCCATTAAGCACCAGATTATGCTGTAACACTGAGGTACAGTCACCTTCTTGGATCTAAATCCAGTTCAGGACCTACAAGGTGCTCTCAGATAGCTTCATTTCAGTCCAGAAACCCTACCGCTTTCATACTAATCTGACAGCTTCTTAACCTACCTCACAAACTGATGTATCACAAAGGGCACTACGTAACTGCTGCTAGGAAGTTACTCCAAGTTGCTTGCCTGTGAGTTATGTTTGGTGAAGCTGCAGGCGGTGTTGGGAGCCAGAGGTCCAGACAGGTCTGACAAACCTACCTGACCTGGAATGGGTGAGGTCTAAAAAAACCTGCCTAATGAAGGACCATTCTTGTACGGCTACTACACTGCTTGCTCTCACTGTTTTAAACTGCTGCATCCGAAAATATAGCCTCTGAAGTTTAGCATTACACGTCAGTCTTCTGCACATCCATGCCTTCAGGCTGAACCAGAGGGGAGGAGTGCTAAAGGTGACAGGCTAAGGCCCTCCGGCAACACAGCCCTTCACACCAGAGTGTTCCCCTTGCCCAGGCAGTTTTGAGCCCGCTCCTGCCTGCAACAGCCCACTCGAATCTATCATATTCTGCAATAAGACAAAGGCTGCTCACATAGCCACGTATGCAACTTGAGGGGTGAAACTGCAGCCCTTGCTGGCAATCATGGCCCTCATTGACAAAAATGGCAGCAGCAGATTTGTTACTTATCTTACGAATATTCCGGTCTGATTTCCTATGATTCTGTTTCTTGCAGTCCATTCACACATCTGGGTCTTTGTCCCAAATACTGTACCCTAAATTTGGGTTGTGCTGAATGAATCTGCACCTCTCTTTCACCACAGCAGTATTCTGATTAATTCCAGGCATGCCGCGCAGGCAGAACTTTCCTGCTGTTCCTGTCCTCTCATGCAAGCCTTCAGAATTCAGCTCTGGGACAAACAACTTACTGTAAGTTTCTGAAAGGCTGTGATTACCCTTCTCCTGAGCAAACTCAAACTCAATCCAGCTGCATCTATTAAATGATTACAGTCTCAACAACTGTCATGTATATTTATATGCCATTATTTATTGCCATAAGCTGAAGTCTTTTGAAATCTACTGGCCCCAGGTGGTAGGGAAAATACTGCCTATATTCCCATTTGTAGTCTGTTTATTTCTTGGAGTATCATACAACATGACCCTAGAAGGAAAAATTAGATTCCTGGAAAGAATACGCAGACAGAAAGGCAAGACAACATCTTTGTGACAGTGTTATTCAGCATCTCCATCACCAGGACTCGGTGGTACTTCAGCAACTGTGACGGAACTGCAACTAAACCTTCTGCAGTTCCACAGCAGAAAACTGCCTGGACAATGGATACGAGCAAGTGACTAAGACAAACAAGTAAGACAGGACTGTATTACATCATTTGCCTTCTTCACCGTGGTGACAGCATCACCATCATTGCAACGCTCAGTCAGACCCACATTTATTTTAGAAGCACCTTCTAAACTTCACAAACAGAAAGACAGTTCATGGGGAAGCCACAGAGCAGCACAGCAAGAGTTGATTTAGCTTTAAACAGTTCAGTTTGTCCACAAAAAAAAAAAAAAAAAAAAAAAAAAGGCTAAGTAATTACTCTGCTCATTACTGTGGGCAGAAAAAATTTACAATTTCATCCACATTTGATGTGCACAGGAACTGTTTGCAGTGTTGCTTCAAAAGCAAGGCTTCTGCAAGTACAAAGTATGATCTTAAAAAATCATATTGCTAGCAACAGCATAAATACAGTTAAAGGAACCCTGCAAAGGGAAGGAGGCTTTCCAGATACTAACCTTGGTTTGAGGAGCGCGCAGTGCTCTCATGGACCACTATCTGTGCTTGTCTTGTACCTCTGTCTAAAAGCCATGCTTTTCCTGTCACACCAAAGTCCGTAACAAGAGACAGCTGGATGAATACCTTTGCAAGCCAAATTTGTCTGGTCAACCATCAAATGAATAGATTTTAACAAATCCAATGCTTGCTCCTGAGCATAATTGTTCAGATGTTGGATGTCCTGTCTGATATGCTAAATGTATCACCTGTTAAGGATATGACAACTTTGATTTTCTCTCTCCACATTTTCTCTCCGCATGAAACGATCTGTGTGTACATCCACAACCACTTGTAACACATTAACAGACTGTATGTATACTGATATTGAGTCCTTGCACTGAAAATTTTGAATATGTGACCCACATTGAGACAAATAGGCGAATAAACAGACCCGCTCATAGCGATTAACTTCAGTGCTGGTGCTTTCCTAAACTAGCCTTCTTTCTTTCGTGGAGCTTGACTCACTACTTACTTACCTTCATAGCCACTGACTGGCACTGCTGTATCACTTTGGACTCAGCCACATCATAGCAGAATAAACCTCCACGTTTTTCCCTACCTTTGTTTTAAATTGAAGTTAATAATGTACATCACCCAGAATAAACCCCTCCCACTGACTTATCTACAGCAGAAAACTGATTACCTCAATAATAACCAAAGAATTAGCCTGGAACGGTTCCTTACTGTTGATGTTTCTTTCACCAACAGAGCTCACCGCTCCTGGAGGAATCAGCAGCATGTGATTTCCTCGTGTGTGCAACACAGTCCCTACTACTTGCTGCAACCTCCGAGTCAAGGCCAATGGCATGTGACTCAAGGCCAACGGCATGTGACTCAGCCGCTGGTGCCAGAACCTCCTCTCATAGAAATTTCAGCCATCCGCTGCTACAAGCACTTGTTTAACTCTTGCTCTCCCTGACTGTTTTTGTCTGGAGGACAAAGGACTGCTAAAGTCTCTGAAAGCTTTCAGTGAAAACCATTGCAAGTGGCACAAAACACAGCATGGCATGCAGACGGGTGGGGGATCACTCCTTCATGGCTTCTGCAGGGCCATCTGAAGCAAAACTTACCTCCTCTCACTTTCCTGAAAATTGAGGAAGGCTTTCTAGAGGACATCCCATGAAATACTGTACAACAAGGGCTTTTGTACAGTATTGTTTTTGGTTTTTTTTAATTACACAATCCTGTGGCATAGGAACTTGATACAAACTCCACTGACTTTCCTGGCATTATTGCCCAAAACAGTAGTGCAGGTTTTTGTGGATTCTGTTTAAAATAGGCTTTTTTTTTTTCACTGTCTGCTGCAAGCTAACGTTTTGAAAGAACGTATAATGTACTGGTGTGACTTTGAGGAAGCAAAAAGATCAGCCTGTATCACAGTTTTATGAATTTTGTTATCAGTGTTCCACATCACAGCATCCTGTAGTGCACTGGGAGTTAAAGAGTTAATGCTCCAGTTCCAAGGATTGTGGAGTTTCCAGGTGCCCTTCGCAGAAGAGAACTACATCTCCCAGAAGACTTTGCTATGCCATTCAAATTTTCCGTTCAGAGCGAAAGATGGAACTGCTTGGGAGTCACGAGACGGCCCTTCTTCTACTGCTCATCGCTGCGGTGCGTGCTGCCCAGCCACCTGGCCTTCAGCATTACAGTAAGTAATGCCTTTGGTTCTGGGCGCTCATTTATCAGCTTCAATTCCAATGGCATTACATTGCCTTATCACACTTTCTGCTATCATTGTTAGTAAATTAGTTTTCTCCCTTAGCTCGTCGCTGTTTTGTTTTCAGGCCCATCTCCCCACCTTTTCACTCTCCCCCTCCCCCCTATCTTGGGCCACGGGTCCCATCCAGTTACGGAACCGGGCCGAAGCGGGTCAGAGCCGTGACAGCCCGGAACGGCCCATCTCAGCAGTCAATTCAATTGTGAAACCCAGCACCAGCAAGGGAAGCATCCTGGTTTAATTATGGAAATGGCATCCCGAATATTTACCCCGGGGTGTTCAGCCACCGTCCTTTCAGCCGCTCCGCCGATTTCCGCTGCCGCCCAGCCCCTCCCCTCGGCCGGCCGCACAGCCCCACGCTGCGGATGACGCGTGCACGACGCGCCGGCCGCCGGCCGCACGGGCGGCACAACGCGCTCGCCCAAGCGGGCACGCTCTGCCCGCGGGGAAACGTCCGGCGCTCCAGGCCCCGGCACTCGGGCGGGCCGCTTAGCGGGCGAGAAGTGGCTTCGGGGACACCGAGCGGTCGGCGCCTCGCCTCTGCACCGGCAGCGTCTGCCCGGCCCGAACCGGCAAGAAACTCCCACGGGCGCCGCCGTAGCCCCCCCCCCCCCATCCGCTCTGCCTTCAGTTCCTCCGCCGCGTCCTACACGACTACAGCCTGCACCCCACCAGCCCCAACGCGTGCGACTGCTGCGGTGCAAACAGCCCAGCCCATTCTGTTCTATTCCATCCCAGCCCATTCCCCTCCCTCCTCTCCCCGCCCCTCGGAAGAAACCGCGCCCCCCGACGCCGCAGTGGCGGCAGCAGAGCGGAAGTTGCTGTCGCTTCGATTGCGTCATTTCCGCTGCGCCTCGGGCGGCCTCGCGCGGCCGGGTTTCGCCTAGAGAGGGCCGAGAAGGACGCGGCGGGGGCCTCGGGGTGCGGAGGGTGACGCGGCCCGAGCCGGAGGCTGCGGGGTACCGGTGTGGGAGGGGCGGCGGCCGGAGCGCGCGGGCCGGCCGGGCTTTCGTCTCAGTCGCCGGCCGCTCCTTGTCGCCCCACAGGCCACCGCCGCGCGCCCGCCCGCCCGCCAGGATGTCGTACATGCTGCCTCATCTCCACAACGGCTGGCAGGTGGACCAGGCCATCCTGTCGGAGGAGGATCGAGTGGTGGTCATCCGCTTCGGGCACGACTGGGATCCGACATGCATGAAAATGGATGAGGTTTTGTACAGCATCGCCGAGAAGGTAAGGCGGAGACAAGGGGACGCCTTGTGCGCGTGCCGAGCGTTCTGCGCGGCGTAAGGCGGGCCCCAGTCTGGCTTCTGGGGACGCGAGCTCGCGGGAAAGCCGTTTGGTGCGCTTTCGCGAGCGTCTCCCGAAGCCTCCGCCCGCCCCGGTCTTTGTGGCGATTGATGTGCCGCAAAGCACTGCGAGCTCCGAACCCGGACCCGTTCCCATTGCGTCGTTTCATGGATGTCAGCGTTCAGACAGAGGCAGTGCTGGGCTGTAGGACTGCTGTGAGTGAGCTTCACAGTAGAAACACGTAAAATCACAGGACATCCCCGGCTGGGAAAGGACCCGCGGGGATCATTGAGCCCGAGTCCTGGCTCCGTGCAAGGCACACACCTGCAGTTAAATACTGAGATGGGGTTGTGTCACGATTCGATGCAGTCCTTTTGTGTTTAATGCGACAGAAGCACCTTATGCTCAGAATACTTGTCGTGTTTAATTTTGGCAGGATGCTTGGCTTTCTAACAGACCTTTTTCAGGTGGGGCTGATTGGGGGAAGAAAGAACAAAAGAACTGGTTGTTTAAAAATCTCCCTCTGGGGAATTGACTGATTAAAGTGGGAGGTCCTTCCTCATCTTCTGACTTACAGGCTATGCTAGGATCTCAGCACTTCTACAGAGGGAGTAAAAGTTCACTTACACAGGTGTTTCTGCTAGAAAAACTACAGAATGTTAAGATGCTGCTATTTCATGCTACACTTTACATTTAGAGTAGCACCAATATTGTCTGTACTTAGGTGGACTTTTGCTCTTTCTTTGTGTTTATTTGAACCTCGTTGAGGAAAAAGAAGCTAGCACACCATATGAAAACACAAAGTAGATTGTTTTCCCTGAACTGTACCCTCTTACAGTTCACTGATTTTTTTATTTTATTTTCCCTGAGTTATACATGAAAAAGAAGCAAGATTTCACTGGGTTTACAAAAAAATAACTGTAAGATGTTAGGTTGAAACCCAGCTACAGCAAAAATGTAGGAGTTGAATTTCACAAAGATAATTCATGTTCCAGACAGCCCCCCAAGATTTTTCCAAGTGTGGCTTGCAGGCTCTTGTGTATGGCTGGTGAAAATATGTAGCTAATGATGATGACTATGCTGAAGAACAGTGTTCCTGAGTGTTCTGTAGCTGAGAATTTGCTCTACCAACTAGTGTTATTTTACTCTGTCTCTGTTGTAGTTTCTATGGAGACAAACAGGTGATGTAACTTTTGGAGTGACCTACACACATCTTGCCTTGCTGTGAAAGTGGGTCATGTCAGTGAATAGCTCCTTTTGGGAAACTGCTGGTTCCAGGAGGATTTTTCAGATGTTTTGCATTTACTTAACTGTAGTCAAGTGTGAGTAGCTGTGCTTTTTTTTTTTTTTGCTCAAGCCTTAGTTGTGCCACTGCCATTCTACTAAGATTACAGGAAAAGTGAAAGGAAAGCTAATCCATTTACTTATCATAGACTCACCAAATGGTTTGGGTTGGAAGGAACCTTTAAGATCTATTTCCAACCCCCCTGCTATAGGCAGGAACACCTACTCGACCTTGTTGCTCAAAGCCTCATCCAGCCCGGGCCTGAATACTTCCAAGGAGGGGCTTCCGCAACCACGCTGGGCAACTCACTCCAGTGCCCGCACAGTAAAGAATATCTTCCTGATATCTTGTCTGAATCTTCCCTCTTCCAGTTTAAAGCTCACTTCGTGCCCTTACGAGAGTATGAAGTCCCTCCACAGCTTTCCTGTAGGCCCCCGTCAGGTACCGGAAGGCCATTATAATGCCCCCCTGGAGCCTTGTCTTCTCCAGGCTGAAAAGCCCCAACTCTCTCGGCCTGTCCTTGTAGGGGAGCTGTTCCAGCTCTGTGATTATCTTTGCAGCCCTCCTCTGGACCCACTCCAACAACTTCATGTCCTTCTTGTGCTGAGGCACCGGAGCTGGGCTTTCATAACAGTAGAGTAGAAGGGCAGAATCGCCTCTCCCGACTGCTGGTCATGCTCCTCTTCATTCAACCCACGGTACGATTGGCCTTCTTAGCTGCAAGTGTACATTTCCAGCTTGTGTTGAGTCTTTGTCATCTGGCATCCCCAAGTCCTTATCCTTGGGGCTGCACTCAAGCTGTTCTCTGCCCACCCTGTACCTGTGCTTGGGATTGCCCTGAGCCAGGCACAGGACCTTGCCTTGTCTTTGTAGAACTTGAAGAGGCTGGCATAGGCCCACTCCTCAACTGTCCAGGTCCCTCTGGATGGCATCTCTTCCTTCTAGTGTGTCAGCTGCACCACTCAGCTTGATGTTGTCTGCAAACTTGCTGAGGGTGCACTTGACCCAAGTGCCCGTGTTGCCTACGAAGATGCTAAATAGCACTGGTCCCAGCACCAACCCTTGAGGAACACCACTCATCACCAGTCTCCACTTGGACACTGAGCCACTGACCACAACTCCCTGTGTGCAAGCATCCAGCCAGTTCCTTATCCAGTGAGTGGTCCATCCATCAAATCCATTTTTCTCCAATTTGGTGACCAGGATGTTATGCAGGATGGTGTCAAATGCTTTGCACAAGTGCAGGTAGATGACATCAGTTGCTCTTCCTTTATCTACTGATGCTGTAGCTCCATCACAAAAGGCCACCAAGATTGTCAAGCATGATTTGTCCTTGATGAAGCCATGTTGGTTACCACTAATCACCTCATCTTTGTTTTCCTTAGTAGGTCTTTGCCAGGCACAGAGGTGAGGCTGACTGGCCTGTAGTTGCTTGGATCTTCTTTATTTCCCTTCTTGAAAATGGGGATAGTGTTTCCCCTTCTCCTAACAGTGGGAGCTTGATATACCTGTAGAGATCCTTATTCTTCCCCTTTATGTCCCTGGCTAGATTTAATTCTGTCTGGTTTTTAGCTTTCCTGACCTATCTCTGGCTGTTCAAACAACTTCTTTGTAGTCATCTCAGGTAACCCATTCTTGCTTCCACTTCCTACAGACTTTTTTTTCACCCAGTTAAGTCCAGGGGTCCCTTGTTCATCCACAGGGGCCTCCTGGTGTTCTTGTCCATCTTCCTCGGAATGCAGTGTTCTGGACTTGCAGGGCATGGTCCTTGAATATTGATCAGCTTTCTTGGACCCCTCTTCCCTCCAGGGCTTTATCCCATGTCACCGTTCCACCCAGAAGAAGTGGAAGCCCAGAGCAGCAACCTTGCTGCACATCTTCTTTGAAGCCCTAGGGATCTTCAACTCCACCACTTCATGAACTCTGCAGCCAAGGCTGCCCTCGAGCTTCACATTACTCACCAGCCCCTCCTTGCTGGTGAGGGCAGATTTCAATGTAGCACCTTTTCTTGTGGATTCCTTTACCACTTGGAAGAGGAAATCGTTGTCAAGCATTTCAGGAATCTCTATGATTTCTGATGCTCTGCTGTGTTGTCCTTCTGTATGGGAACTGCTGAGTCACGGCCTGAACCTCTGATTAATCACCTGAGGTGAGCCTTGAGTCAGCCAGAGGAGCACAGCTGAAGGCAATTCACCTGTGCTGCCGGAAGGGGTGGAGCCAGGCTGCACCCCTCCTGGACCTATTTAAGAGCTGGCTACCAGAGGGGAAGGATCTCTTCTGGAGATCCTCCTCTTTTGGTATCTTCTAGTGAGCTCAACCCAAGGGTAAGCTCTTCTACTTATTCTCTTTTGCGATCCTTGTTTGCTTTTGCCTTACTCTTTTGATTATATTGCAATTATAACATCTTGGTTATACACCTTCTAACAGATATCAGGGTGGCTGAAGTCTCCCATGAGAACCATGTTTTGTGAATGCAAAGCCACTCCTGTCTGTTTATAGAGGGCCTCATTCACTCAGTCTTCCTGGTCAGGCTGCCTATAGCAGACCCCATTATGATGTCTCCTTCCCTTGCCTTCACTTTGACCCTAACCCATAAGCTCTGTGTCAGCTCCTCATCCATCCCCAGATGGAGCTCTGTGGAATCCAGCTGGCCATTGCTGTAGAGGTTGACACTCCCTCTTTCTTCCCTGTCTTTCCTAAAGAGTTTATACCCATCTATTTCTACATTCCAATCACGAGAGCCATCCTGCCACATCTCAGTGATGCCAGTGACAGCATAGCCCAGTGCAGTGTGTCACAAGTTGACACAGTGATTGAGCACCTGTTGGGAAGGCAGGGTCAACCTAGGGGAGCCTGCCTACCTGAGGCCTTCCAGAGGTAAGCAAACTTTCTTCCTTCATTTCTGCATCCACAGCTGTTGCATCTGGGCTGGTCCTCGTTTGCTGCAGCTGAAGACTTTGTGTCCCTGTTCTTCTTGCTGTACTTCCCATGGCATCACAGCGTTACACTCTGTAAGCACGCTCACATTTGTAACTGCTTCTGCTTGTTCCTCGTGCTCTCTACCACTCAGAAGAGAATCACCCCCCACTGTCACCCTTTGCTTTTTCTTAGTTGTGGTAGTTATGCAACAGGGAGCTGGTCTGGCTGCCTTTCTCAGTTCTGAGGGCTTACCTCTTGACTGTTTCTTTCTCAGTCTGTAGAACTGAGAAGCAGTTTTGCAGAGGCACCTCAGGCCTTGAGGCAGGCTTCTTCCTTCTGTTAGTCTTTGTCTTGCTAAATGCTTGGCCATTTTGTTAGCAGTAGCAAAATTGTTAGTTGTTACCATTGCATTTAGCAGAGTAATGTTAAATTTACATAGGAGAAGAGAAAATCACCTGAACTTACAGAATAATTGGAATTTAAAAAAATGTCAGGTAATGACAACAGACCTGAAATTTCCTGCTTCATTGTTTTTGCAGCCTTTCATTTCAATAATGCAGCTCTGCTGGGCTTCTTGAACTTGAATTGCTGCAGAAGCTATTTTCAGTTCCTTTACTTTTTTTCCTGCAGTTTCCTTATCCATAGCACATCTAAACATAAAAACAGACAAAGAAAACCTGACTTTGTGTAGAAGCTTGCTAGGCAAATTAGAAGATGCAATCTTGGTTCTGGCATCAGGTTTCCTTTGATAGCTGCTGTGAATGCTTTGGGCCATCAGCTACCATTGCAAGACTTATTTTTTCCAGGGAGTTGAAGTTGTAAGGAAAAAAATAGTCTCACCTCCACCAGAACTGAAAAGAAGCTTTGTGCCACTGTTACTGTTCCTCCCAGCTTTTGGTCATACTGCTGTGGTAATCTGATTTGTAGGAATGCAAGAAATTAGTAGGAATGATATTGCTAATGAAGACTATCAGGAAGGAGGAATGAGAACTATCTGGTATATGATTTTTTCCTCTGTGTTTCCTGTTCACCAGCTAATTGTGGTCTTCTGTGATTCCTATTTACCGAAGTGTGACCAAGGATCTACAGAATCTGTATGTTAAGGTCTTCCTGATGCTAAGGGTCCAGCATGTACCGTGTCCTGGTCAGTTTTGAGTTCAGAGTGCACAGTCCTCTCTCTCTAGCTCTGAGATCCACTTTGGACATCATACAAGGCTTTGGGCAGCCACCCTGCTGTCGGTTCCACTTCTTTAGATGGGTAACTCTTTTATTCACACGTAGGAGAGAAGGGTTCAGTTAATGTCTAAGATACGTGGATCGTGGTGGTAACCTGTGTGTGTGCAAAGGCGATTTGAGTGAAACAGCCCCTTGAAGTGAGTTTCCCTAAATGACTTGGCTAAGACTTGCACGAGATACCTGAGTTTCAGAAGTTAAGCTACAGCATTCCTGAACTGTGATTCTGGTTTCTAAAATGGAAACTTCAGATTACTGTCTGAAACCCACCTTTTGCACCCTAAGGCTAACCAGAACCAGAACCCACCAGTGGGTTCTTAGTAGAACTGTTCATTTTGAACATCCTCTTAAGTTTCTTAGATATCTTTCATGTGAAATAGAAGTGGCCACGAATGGCTCCAGGTAGAAAACAAGAATGCGAAGCTATTTTCTTTCATGGTTTAAGACATTAGCTGTGAAAGGAGAGTGCTGCACCATCGTTTGGTTGATCCTGTGTGATTTGTGCATGGCCAGGCCTCCTGGCTGGCAAGAGCCTCTGCCATGGTAGGATGTGGGCTTCATTACGAGCTGTCCTGGCTGCATTCTGAGTGGCTGCACGTGGTCCACGGGTTGCACGTGTCTGACATATTGCTTTTGTATCTTCTTTTTCCTTCTCCTCAGGTAAAGAACTTTGCTGTTATTTATCTTGTGGATATCACTGAAGTACCAGACTTCAACAAGATGTATGAGTTGTATGATCCCTGCACAGTCATGTTTTTCTTCAGGTACACGGTGGTTCTAGAATATAATCAACTGAATGTGTTTTAGTAGAGCTACAGCTCCATCTCAGCATACTGGTGGTTATATAGCCGTTGTTCCAGAGAAGTGTAGACTCTTGGCAGGGAGTGTAACAACGGGACAAGGGGCAATAATTTTAAAATGAAGTAGTAGATTTAGCTGAGATGTTAGAAGGAAATTCTTTGCTCAGAGAGTAGTGAGTTTGCTGGTTTATCAAAGGAGGTGTGGGTGCACCATCCCTGGAGGTGTTCAAGGCTGGGCTGGATGCAGTCTGGGGCAACCTGATCTAGGGGTAAGCAGCCCTGCCCACAGCAAGGGGGTTGGAACTTTCTTTGGGGCTTCTTTGCAAACCTTTTTCTGTTTGAACATTTATTTTGAAACCTACAAAGGGGGATTGATTCTTGTAGGGGGGGATTGATGAAGGTTTGAGGTTCTGGGGGGGGTGTGGATGGGGGTGGATTTTTTTAATCTCTTTTTTTCAATTATTGTTATGCTATTAACCTGTCTGTTTTCTTTTCTCCATTTAAAGGAACAAACACATCATGATTGATTTAGGTACAGGTAATAACAACAAGATCAACTGGGCAATGGAAGATAAACAAGAGATGATTGACATTATAGAAACTGTTTACAGAGGAGCCCGCAAAGGTCGAGGTTTAGTGGTATCACCAAAAGATTATTCTACTAAATACAGATACTGATATTTTGTTGGGGCTGTGCTTTTCTTTTGTAACCCTTTCTCCACCTAAATTTATTTTTCTGTATGTGTGTACATACATATGCATATTAAAAAAGAAAGAATCAGTCTTTCAGTGTTGAGCGTGTTGTTGATTATTTAAAAACTTTAGATTCCATTTGGAAAAGGACACAGAGCCTCAAACTGTATGACTGCAGCAGGGCTGGGGCTTTGTTCAGGTGTTGTTCTTTCAGACTTTACTTTCAGGACTTTTGGTATGATGTATTTTTGTACAAAAAAAGCCTGTTTGTAGAAAAACATCTCAGCTGTCTGTTTACTTCTGTGTGGTGCTTTAATGCAGCGGGTGGCTGAGTGCCCCACAGTTGTTTCCAGTCATTCCCAGTAGGAGGGCAGAGAGAATTAAGAAAAAAAACAAACGCTGCAACACTGCTTAGCAGCAGCTGTAGGCATCAGTGTGTTACTGACATTGTTTTTCTCCTAGCACCAAAACCCACCATCATACCAGGCACTCTGAAGAAAACAATTCTGTCCCAGCTGAAACTGAGACATTTTGCTGCACAAAAAGCTGGGAAAACTACAAGATAAGGTTTTTTTCAGTTTTTTTTCAGGTTTTTTTTTTTTTTTTTCTAAAGAATAAAACAAGTTCCACTTATATGCCTTAATGTTCTTTAAAGTTGGGAATGAAAACAGATGTTATTAGATGCGAAATCATAACCTTGTAGAGAAAGGGTTTTAACTTTTTTTTCAGGATTTTCTTGCATAGCATCTTGGTGCTTGTATGCAGTGAGAAATAGGAATTTATGAGGGTGTACATATTAATATTTAAGGAAACTAAATTAAAACATCTGTGATTCACAGCTAACCTTTAGGAAATCCAATTGGGTGTGATGGTGGAGATTATTTTTCATGGTGATTATTCAGTTTGAAATACTCTGTAGTGGACAGAGTAGTTCCAAAAGGTAATAGCAGTTCTGGAGCTGGCTGCACAGTCGGTGCTTGAAGGGGAAACTTCTCCCTGTAGTGTGAGCTCCAGTTTATCAAACGGTGGAGCAAAATGTTAATATGCTCATGAGACTTGGATTGGTGCTGCGTTTGTATGGCTTTTGAAGTTTCACATGCATTTCTGGTGATGTCTGCTTTGCAGTAGTGGCCCCAGTGCTGTTTTGTTTTGTTTATTGTTTGTTTTCTAACTGATACATGCGTGTTTATGGAACTAACAGAAAGGAAGTCAGACTGTGCAGAAGGAGGTACCTGTTTTTTAAGACCAGTTTGTCACAAGACCGAGTATCCAAAATAGAAGCTGCTTTGATGGTGCTGTTGCTAGGAAAATATTGCCCACGCAGACCATCCTTCATTGGACAAAATGGGAGTCAGAAGGCACCAAATTGGGACTGTGTGGTGGGTATGGCAGGACAGTCCAGTCAATACTGGCAGTGTGCTCCATAGTCTAACTGGTGTGGGGCCTGGAGTTAACCTGTGTTACTAGAGGAAAACTGTCCTGTTGTCTGACCTGACTCTGGAGATTTGAGCCTTCAGCTTAGCATCACGATGTAGTGGTCAGAATTGATGGTTTGTCCATGTTCCAGGAAATCCAGAAGGGTCAGCACTTTCCTATCTTGAAAGACTGCACACTACTTTACTTACTGAGCACTGTGTCTTGAAGTTTTTCTTCAAGGGGAATTCAATGTAGCCATCCCAAGGATTGCTGTTCTGACTGTAACTCACAGATGTGGCACCACGTCTCATCACAGGTAATGATGCAAACGAGGAAAGTGTCACTTTCAGCCTTATATTGGTTCAGTAGGTGCTGACGAACTTGCATACAGCCTTCTTTCTGTTCCTGTGTTGAACATTTGTGGGACCCAGTGCAAACTGTGCAGTATTCCAGCATTGGTACCATAGTTTCCAGCCTACTGAAGCTAATATTCAGTTCTGTACACAATTCTGTGGTTATAATCTGCCAATGTGTGTGGATGAGCTGATTGTCACGCTTTGTTTTGTGGTGTGACGACTGTGCATGGCCATCCAGACCGTGGCAGTCATTCATGTTGCTGTCACCACTGCCAAAACTCACCACCCACTGTGTTGCACCCACTGTTTGGTCTCCAGAAACGTTCAGCAAACATCCATGAATGTCAGTTGGTGCTGATTTTCCCACATGGAGGAATTCAGTGACACACCTTTGCTTCGTCTGCACCTCCACATCAGATGCTCGTTGTCAGACTGTCCTGCTGCCTTCTGTCACACAGCAACAAAACGTAATGGAATATTGGCAGAAAGGTAGAAAGTTCAACTTCTACTGCCATACCACCAACATCCACCTCTGGCATCATATAATAAAACGAGGCATTACTTTCAGAGCAGCCTTGTAATTCAATTCCTTTATGTGACATCGAGTAGGAAGTCTAGTTATTTTCATAGTTACTTCCATGAAACGAATTAACTGATTAAAAAAGCTGTTACCAATTGAGCACATACAATTCATTAACTACTTATTTGCCTGTTCTTTATTGCCAGTTGTTTGAAGGCACATTTGTAAGAACAAAGGTTTTTTTACTTCCTATCTTCCCAGCACTGACCTGCAGTGTGATCTGGACCAATGTGATTTATGCAACATGTTGTTGCATGTTAAGCATGCATGTGTTGGTGATGACATAAACCACTTCAACATGTGGGTGTCAACGTCTGGGAGAGGTTGCTTCTGAAATAATTTTAGAAACTGATTTGGGTTATCACTGAACAGTGTGTTTCAGTGCAGTGCATAACAGGGTTAGTCTGTATTTATCCTCAGTTGCTGCACAGGCCTTACCTTCGTATGTCTGATCAGTTAAAGCAGAAGTAGATTGCACTTTGCTTTTAATTTTTAGAGAATTCAGAAGGTGCAAAGGATGACTGTGAGTGAATAAAGCACACTGCATGTTCCCAATGTTTGTTTTATGGTGGAAGGCACCGCTTAAAGTCTGGTCTAGTCTCCCAGTCAAAGTAGGTCTTGCTTGGCTTGCCTAAGCCTTTGGGCAGTGTTGACATACCTACATGGATTGAGATTCCTGGGCCTTTCTGGAGAGGCACATCCCTCACAGTTGGAAAGTGTTCCAGCTGGAATCTCCTGTGCCTCTCCCTTGTGTCTAGTCTCCCCCCTTTTCCTGCAAACATACTTGCCAGTCAGCCAACTCCTCACACTGAGCTGTGGCACAAGCTTATTGTCCTCGAGGTGAGATCTGCCTCTTGTCTTTGAACTTCATGAGGTTCTTGTCAATCAGTTTATCTGAAAAGCAGCCAACTTCTCCTCCTGGTTTGACGGTGCTTGCATACCTACACTGCTTAAAGCATTGATTAGAATTAGATTTTGATATGGACCAAGTAATTTGTAGCAGACACTAAGCATTAACAAATGCCAGTTTTAAAAACACATCTTTCATTAGCTGAAGTGTTCTGTTTAGCTGGTAGCTCTTCAGTTTCTGCGTATGTTGAAAGAGATTTCTTGAGTTCCCACCAAATTATTCCCTGCCTAAAGTTCTGGGGCTTTTTGGTGTATAAAAACAACCACTGGTTGTTAGCTTTTAGTTTGTTGGAACGTCCTTTTAGCTAGGATAAATTTATCCACCTCTCAAATGTTACTCATTTTATTTCACCTGAGCCAGGGCAATCCCAACTGGCTTGGTGATCACTGGACTGAGCAGCCCTATGGGGAAGGTCTTGGGAGTGCTGAATGAAAAACTCAGCATGTGCTTGCAGCCCAGGAGGCCAATGGTATCCTGGGCTGCGTGACAAGGGGTGGCCAGCAGGATGGGGGCCGTTTGTCCCCCTCTGCTCACCCTAATGAGGTCCTATGGGGAGCATCATGTTCAGGTCTGGAGCCCACAGCACAAGAAACATGGAGGTGTTGGAATGCGTTCTGAAGGATGATCAGAGAGCTGAAACATCTATGGAGTCAGGTTGAGAAAGCTGGATTTGTCCAAACTGGAGGAGGCTCTGTGCAGACCTTATAGCGATCTACATGAAGGGCACCTACAAGAAAGCTGGGGAGGGACTCCTTATCAGGGCTTCCGGCCATAGGACAGTGGGCAATAGCTTTAAGCTAAAAGAAAGAGGGCAGATTTAGATCAGATATTGTGAATCTTCAATCTATCAATCTTCAATCTATCTTTAATACAATCTTTATGAATCTTCAATCTATCTTTAATACAATCTTTACTCACAGGGCAGTGAGGCACTGGCACAGGCTGCCCAGAGAAGCTGTGGATACCCCAACCCTGGAAGTGCTAAAGGCTGGGGGTGGATGGGGCTGTGTGCAACCTGACATGGGGGGAAGCGTACCTCCCCACGGGAGGGGGCTGGAATATTTAGAAGGGTGGATATGTAAACACAAGATACTCTGGGATTCTACTACCATAGAAATAACTCTATTCTGTGGAAGTACTATCACTATTTTAGCTTAAAGTTGTTCATGCTCAGTGGACCTATTCATAAAAGCTTTGCAAAGGCGTTTTCATAGTAACATCAAGTAAATTAGCTATGGTGTATTTTCGGCAGGGGTGGATGAGCGTTCCAATGCAGGAAATGTAAATAGCATCAAAACAGCACACACAGCTGCAGAAGTATCTCCACAGGTATTCTGAGAACACATAAAAAGGCAACAAAGAAGTGTGATGGAAATTTTAATGTCAGTAATATGAAATACACTTGTTACATTGAAAAAGTTTGTGACTGGGTAAGCTCACTACTGTATCGGACAGTTTTTGATCCGTATTTTTTTTCCTCCCCTGAGACTAATGGTTTATTCCCAATTATAGGAAATAGTGTCCCATTTACATGAATAAACCTAGCTTTCTACTCCTTTCCTGGGACAATAATTCAAAGGAAAAGAAATGGAGATTCTATCACGACGTGATGCAAGTGTATTTGTTTTCACTGATGGTTTTTGTGAGCAGAGACGCTGACTGTAAGCGATGACACGCTCCAGAGTCAGTGCAGAGCTGTTCTCCCCTTATCTTTCTCGCTCACATGCTTATTTCAGTGCTGTAAAGAAACAGTGAAAAAGTAGTGGTTAAACTATGCATGGACATGATTCAGCATAAAACAGGAAGATCTCTATACACTTTAATACACTTTCAAGAGATTGCCTTCTATTTTTGTAAAAAATGACGACACAGCTTATCCTCAGGAAAAGAGCAGAATGAACAGACGCCTGAATTACTTCAGCATAATTAGAAACATTCCTGTCTTTTGCTGAGTAAGCAGTCTCTGCCAGTTTAAACAAGGAAAGCTTGCAAGAAGAGCAAGAAGGAAACAAACACCTACCTCATGATGTGTAATAAATATCGTCAGCATCTGTGGGATCATTTCAACATACAGTGATGTGCAATCACACAGGGTACCCACGCATCCCATGATCACTGCTTGTATCTCCTAACAATACTTGCCACTTCAACCCTGCATCTCAGTGCCGCAAGGATGAATCACTGCTCTGGTCTGGGCAAAGGTGTTTATGAGGTGTGTTCTGAGCCACAAGAGGAGGCTGTA